TATCTTAAGAAAAAGTTAATGAAAGAGAAAAAGTTTGAAGCAGAGGTTGTTTGGGGTTTTTTTAAGTTATTGAAAGGGAGAAATGTCTTATTTACCACTCATTGTTTATTTCATTTCTGGTAACAAATGAGAGAAGATATGTCTACTTCTCTTCTTTACATAGCTAAAAAAGGGGGGGGGGGACAGCTTCAAATGTTTTAAAAATATTATAAAACTGACAGACATAAACAGTTATTTTACCAAAAAACCCTTCTATCTTCTTTGAAGTTACAGATGACCATATTGTAATGTGTCATGTTCTAAACTAGTCATAAAGAGCAAAGGTTAAGTATCCACTTACTGTTTATTTTTCCTGATCAACTTGTAGACAATCTTAAGAAAAGAAAAAGACTGAAAGATTTAAAATGTTTTTAAAAAGTTTTTGAGGAAATTCTGTCGAGGTGAGATGATTTACAAATAAAACGTTTTAAGGGTTAAGCTTTGAAAGTTTAATATTTATGATCAGTGTGGCTTTTTATGATACAGAAATGTATAGCACCTATATAAATGGATGGGTTATACTGTTATGTATACAATTTCTAACACATTGACTTCCCAAAGGCATTTCTGTTAGCAAATCTGTAGTTAGCATTATCTGTAGTTCAAATAAGAAACCCTATGGACATTTGTTTCTTTTCCTGAAACAGATTTAGATAATCTGCTTCCACTGTAGATTCAAAGTGATTAAACATTTAAACTCTGTGCAACTTTCTCACTACCAAGAAATAGATGGAATATTAAAACAAAAATGTTTTAAAATAGCAAAGTATTTAAAAGTAGAAAATGAACTTCTAAAATTTCATGTTTTAATTCTTCATTTAAAATGTTCACATGAAACTTTGAAACAGATTAATCATGCAAAGAAAACACACCTGTTTTTGCATCTTTCCAGTCATCCGAAAGAATAGTCTTGGTCTGGATAGTGTATTTAGAGATAGGACTGTGATTGTCTGAACCACGACTCCAAGTTAGTGCCACAGAAGTGGCTCTAATATCCTCTATTCTCAGACCACCTGGAGGACCTGGGGGGCCTGGAATGAAAGTTGGGGTAATCAATCAATGAGTTTCAAATAGTGAATTGCATATACATTAGAATACAAAAAAGCCTCCTTACCATGAATCCCAGCAACATTTTTATAATATGATCATTGTTGTTATAGTATTTCTTTTAAATATAGAACATAACAATAAAAACATCATTTGTGGTTTTCAGTGAGTTAGAGTATTTTGTATGTCTCCTTTTGAGACGCAGATAAATGCTGGCATTAATAAATAGTGTAATCATTCAGGATGCATATGATAATCTTTGGAATATGACATTTGACATCAACAAAGCTTGATATAGGTGACAGCACAGAGCAATTGAATAAATGCTTGCTGACTGCATGAATCAGGTATAACAGCATAATTCAGTCTAGATATGACAATACTCGGTCATATTTTTTTCATTCTATCCAAAATAGAACTACCTTTTTTATAACCCTAAATCCTACAGTAGTAACCCTAATGACGAAGCAGTAATCTATCTCATTCAGAATGGACTCATTTTATGAATAAATCTGAATAGTAAGATTTCTTGATATTTATAGCAATAAAAACAATATTGAAAGAAGTATTTTTACTTTTGTAAAATATTGAAAACAATCAACAACTAGAGATTTGCCATGAATGCTCTGAAAACATTACGTTATACTAATGAGTCTTGAGCAGAAGAAATCTTATTGCAGAACATGAAATAAACTTTAAAGTAGGCTTTCATAAATGTTTTACAGATCAGTGACATAGTTATTTACTTATTTTCTGAACTGAGGTCATTGTGCTGAGCAGAGAAGTTGAAAAGACACATAAAACACAGCTTTGGGGTTTTGAGCAGCTTTTTATCTTGGGAAAATGTGAAATGGACCAGCAAACCAGTAAGTATAAAGAAAAAGTAGCAGACAAAAAAAAAAAAAAAAAAAAAAAAAGAAAGAAAGAAAGAAAAAAGACAAGTAGCAGATGCCATCATAATGCTACACAAGATACCTGTATTTTGCATCATGTTTTCTTCCATGTCAAATGAGGGGGAAAGTATTTGAAGTGATAAAGCAGCATCTAGTGCTCACCATGTTAAGGAAACATTGTCAGAAATGTCAGAAAACAAATGTCAGGAAACACCATCCCTTATTTTATTTGCCCCAGAAAGGAAATCATTCTCTAAAAACATCCTATTGAATATAGCAATCCATCAGATTCAGTTAAGTCACATTTTTATTTTTGGGACAATGAATTTAGTGCTGAAGAATATGTCATCTTTTAACTGAAAATAAATACTATTCTAATTTTTTAGTGGATGAATTGATCAGCCTAAATGACTTTTTTCTCACCATATGGGCTTTGGTTTTTACAAGGGTATAGGCAATACACCAAACCTTCAGCAATTTCCTTATAGTTAGCCCCAAGAAAGAAAAGAATCTGAAGGTAAACAAACATATCATTTCTAATATAAAATAACACAAGACACAGCTATTGACTGTAGTAAATTTTATTATGTAGAAATGTATCACATATGCATATAATAAAGGTAAATAAACTTTCATGAATTTTTCACTATCATAGTATACTTACACTGTACCATTGTAATTATTTGATGTTAAATAATTGAAAACAGACACATTAAGAATGTAGATCATATTTGATATTTAGGAAGAACACATTGCATTTTTCAGACATAAAAACTATGTTGAAATGCAGTGAACACTGTTGATCAGAACCAAGAAACTCATTACGTCACATAAAGCAGCAGCTCAATACAATTACTGAGTGGCAATTTCAGAGTATTAAAATAAAAAATTAGAGATGTAAACTAAAATAAATAATTTTAGCAGGAAGATAATCTTTTAAAATTTAGACATTCAGACACTTTTTCAAAGAATAAAGGATATGACATTTGAAAATGTTAAGGGGAATTTAAGAAAAAATTATCATAGATAAGTGTTTAACCACTACAACGTAAATTATTCCCCTGCTTTATACTTTGATGTTCTTGGAGCTGAAATGCACATTATTTTCACAAAGACTATATTAAAGCTGCAAATTTTTGTGCATTTTCTGGGACAGTGTATGCGTAATAATTTTATTTCAATAGTTGTCTGTTTATTGAAAAGTAATATTATCCTATAAAACATTTATATTATGACATATAATTATTTTTTATTTTTTCCTTGAATATAAGTCTGGCATATAGTGGAATCTTAATAAATATTTGATAACTATGTCTATATAAAAATTTATTGCAGTTACCCCTCAGTTATATAAACATCATGGTCATCTGTAGTACAATCTTCATTCTCACACTTTCCTTGGAATACAATGTCATCACAAAGAGGGGGAATTCAGACGACAAATGAAAAGAGCCAAGCAAGAATTTGAGATTCCAAGGGAGCAAGGAAGAATTTGAGTTACAATAAGATTGATTTTAAGTTTTATGTCTCTGGTTTGTCTTGGTCTAATATCTTAAATTTACTAAGATTTCATTCTTCATCTGTAAACAGAAGTAATATAAGTTGGCTATATTGGATTGTTGTTAAGATTAAGTTAACATCCTGGAAAAATGCAGTGCTAGGTCTGGTCATAGGAAACCCTTGGTAAACTTTAATTATTAGAAATATTAATGTCACTATTCCTATAGGAATTTTCTAGGTGTTTTATGTACTTGGCAGTCATAATTATTAGCGTTTGTCAATCATTGTCATGGACCTTTCACCTGATTGCTCATTTACCATTTGTCACTGGAAAAAAAGCAATGACTTCAGAAATAATGTTTTCTCGTAAATCTGATGGAGGTGAAGAAAAGTCTGGAAAGAGAAGACACTCAAGCACATCCTCAGGAGTCAGGATGTGACCAAATTGGGACAGTAACTTCAGAGACAGACATGGACAGCTGAGTCCAAATCATGCACCTGAGAGCATGTCCCAGAAGGAAGGCTTTCAAGAGTGGATCCTAATGTGAGTTACTGTTTTCTTCCTTTTGTGAGAATGTTTTAATTCAAAGTGGAGACATGATAGAAAAAAAATAATGAGGCTACTGGTTGTTTAAGACAAAGAAAGGTATTTAGGAACTGACAACTGTTTTGTTTCTGTCAATGAAAAGATAATATATAATTCAGACTTACAGTTCCTTTTTAAATCCTTAATAAATGCTGGGGAAAACAAAAGAAAATGAACCTGTGCCATGCAACTCATTTCATGATTACTTTGCTAATATCTCTTCAGGGTCTTTCCGGATTTTCCCCATCATGAAGCTAATGTGGTAAGAGCATTACTGTCATGAAACAAACTGCTCAGACACCAGGGGTCTTAGGAATTGGACCTGCTTTAAAATTCATGCATATGGTAGATGAAAAATTATTTTAGTCTTCTACTTTTTCTTTCTTTAATTTTAATTACTAAGAATTTCAGGCCAAAGATTTAGCTCAGTGGCATAAAGGCCTGCCTGGCAAGCACATGGCTGTGAGTTCGATCTCTAGTAACTAAAAAAAAAAAAAAGAATTTCAGGTGGGGAGAATAAAAGAAATATTTCCGACTAGTCTTGGCAAAGTCATTTTCTCACTGTTTCTTATCACTATTAAATAACTAGCTAATTGGGATGAGGAGAAAAAGAGAAAGTATTAAGACAGAGTAAGAAGTTATTTATAGCATGTTTTTGTTTTCATGTTTGTTTTCCGCTTTCTTGTACATGGTTTTATCTTCATCACTCATTACTATCCCCTTCCTCCCACCTCATATCCTGAAGTTTCTAAAACTATATCACCTATATTCATAGATCATTTACCTACAAAATCTGTAGGTGTTTTTACCTGATACTTCCAGATGTTGCCAAAATGTCATCATGAAAGGCCATCACTAATTGTGTTAGGTCTTTTCAGCTGCTGAATTCCTCTTTCATAAAATACACAAAATTCAGTGATTTTTTTTTATCTTCCTTTCCTATTCAAACTCACAGTGTCCTTTTGCTGCCTTTCTTTGGCCTGTCTTTTGTATTGCCCAGGCAAAGGCTGTCACATGAACTATTCCTCTTTTTCTACATTTATTGCATATCTCTTACAGTTGCTGCTTTCCAACAATAATTATTTCTATCTGGTTTTACATGGCCTCTGAGAGAGAGTTGATTAAAAGTGTTGCATAGGGCATCCCCTACAGAGTATAAATAGTGGACCTACGTCCTTGGTAGTGTTATTTCTACACTGTAGAGCCTTTAAACTCAGCTAAAAGGAGTCTACAGTAATTGCTAAGACCAGTTTCTGCCATTTTTTTAAACCTAAAAAGGTCTTGAATTATAATCCTCCTCTATCAACTGTGGTTCAGTATAGATTCTCATTGGTCACATTTGTATTTTTCCTTTAAATTTTTCTTGGTTTTGAACTGTTTTAGTATTAAACCATGAGTTATCAGCAGATGATAGAAATAGTTCAATGTTTTAGTAGAGCACACACTCCTGAGCTCATGAAGTCAATTCTGTGTGCTTCATGAAAACATGCTAAGTATAGAGAGATTATCAGGAGTGGCAGTGGCAGAAGGCAGAGTCTGAACAAGACACAGGGCTTTCTGGGATTAGAGGCCTCAAGAGAGAAAATGTCTGTGCACAGATTCAGATCATGCAGTTCCACTGTGTAGGTCTGGAAAGGTCTTACAAAGAACAGTGTACACTGTTCATAGCTTTTAAAACCTACATTATATCTGTTAATGAATATTAGCATATCTCCCATTTATAAATCATACTCACTACATCTCCCACTTTTCTTCCCTGTAGAACTAGATGCTGGACCCAGGACCTTTGCACTGAGCTACACCCATTTTAAATTATTCTTTTCACGAGATAGGATTTTGCTAAGTCAGTTACTTGTCCAGGCTGGATTTGTGATCCTCCTGCCTCAGCCTTCCATATTGTTCGGAATATGGGCATTTACCACCTCACCCTGAGATTTGTGAAATCTCATTTTCCTGATCACCAAAATTTTTTATAAGTTTTGTTAATATTTTTAGAAGAAAAAGCTTTGCATGAATGAAAGATATATATTATTTCCACTTGGGTTTCATTTATGTAAAATAATGAAAATACAGCAACATACAAAGAAAATCAGTTCAAACATCTGTGGAAAGGTAGTGGGAAAATATATTTTAAGTGATTATTCACACATTATAAATTGATCATATTTTCTCAATCAATAAAACATTGACATTTTTGATAAATTAAATTGGAAAGGAAATTTGTAATTCAAACTCCCTAAGATTCAGAGGAACATACAGCAGCTATGAATATACTTCAGGCTTCACTTAAATTGGTGATGCTACTGAGCAGTAGCCCAATGCTATTGTCTTCCTTTAAACATTATAGCTAAATTTCCAAACAGCTAGAGTGGAAGAACCCACCACTGCCCACTGGTCTTTTCGGGCAAGCTTCACATACCCTGCTCTTCAATCACAAACCTTATAGAACCCTGTTTTGCATTAAGGAGGAAAGACACTGTTATTCTCTTTTCCAAAGTTAATGCTCCAGTAATTAAAAGCAAAGCACTACATAAAATCTCCTACTCTTCAATGCTTACTTTTACAAGCATTTACAATTTATCACTTTTACAAAATGATAAATGCTAATGAAAAGTTTGAACATGGTAACAAATGAAAACTATTTCAAAGCTAACTATGCTCCTTTTTCAAATAAAACAATTTCATATGAAAGTGGCTGAGAGAGAATATCAGTAATATCAGCAATGTGTTTTCTTTACTCAGATAAGGGAGTTGAAGTTCCTTTAATGTTACAGGTATTATCTTGCCTTGAAAATTAGTTAAAACAATTGCTCTATAATAATTCTATAAAATAAACATCAGTGTTGTTTGATCATATTGATTCTTGAACCTATGCTAAGACAAAACTAAATATTAAACATATCTACCATGTGATAAGAGTTTGGTAGTTTTCTTAACCTCTGACATTAATAAAAGTGAACTTAACTCCTAATGAAAAATGACAACAAGGTGAATGTTAGGTAGATATATCAGGATTTTTTTATTTGATACTGATGTAGTTTAAATAAGAATGTTATCCCTTCCCCAGTTACCAACTATGATAATTATGTTTTATTTTTTATTTTTTTTCCTTTCCAAACTTGTAAATTCCTATCTGGTCTTGGTAATTTAATTTTAGATATGAACTATGTAGGAAGATGCCCGTAATGATGACTCACTCATATACATGTTTCCATGGTGATGTTTACAGATACTTAAAAACATCAATTCTCAATAAGATCATTTCCATTATCTTATTAAACTAGAAATTGATCTGGATTACATGCCTAAATTCTAAGTTAGTTCTTTCAGGGATTGAAACTAAAACTAAAATATATAAAAGATGGAACTACGTAATGTCTTCAAACAACGATATTTATTCCTTGAAAATGACTATTTTTAAAATAAAATAGTGTAAGTAATGATTTAAGAATCAAATTCATAGCCCTCAAAGGCTTCCTGAGGATTCTTCCAACCACAGATGAAGTTGTTGGAATTACTAAATGAGAAGTATCTCATATCTAAATATAAAATCATCTGAGAAGAACAAAATTATTTCTTGTGAAAGAACAAGAATTTTGAGCATAAGAAAGAAAAGAAAGCAATTTCAAACAGTGAAACTTAAGCAATCCCAGAATTACACACATTTCAGTTTTAATCCCCCACTTATGCCAAAATCATTCCAATAAAACTTTCAATCTTCTTTCCAAATGCAAAGACAAGAAGGCTGATGGCAGGAGTTAACAAATTTAATGTGAATGTGTATTGTTAGTGGTTCCGCCAATCTTCGGGTAATTCTCACGCTGACATGGTGTTTCCGTACACATACTGACCATGTGCATTTCCCAATCCCAGGGATTGTTCAGAGACCTTTAGGGTCAAGATCTGGCTTCCACTGTTTACTGTTACATTTCACCCCTTTCCACTAAGGAATATGAATACACTATGATTCAAAGGCAGCTGGAATATTGTACCTTTTAGCTTACATCCTATTTGACAGCAACATTGTTCATTACCTGCTTGAATAAATCAAACAGTTCATGCAGCAGTGAAAATACTATTGTGCTATAACTCACGAGTTCTCCATACAATTTTCAAATAATATTCTACCATATATAATTTTAAAGCAAAACAGGACAGGAAACTACAGAACTTTCACTTGGCAGTATATGTATGATGCACTGGGTTAGTTCATTAGGCATAGTTTTCAGGGATTAGTGAAGCTGTATAATTATGTTTTTAAAACTCTTTCTGGCCAAAAATATGTTTAGAAGTTTCAAAATGGAAAACATCCTCTAAGAGCTAGGCTGCGGCAGAATAAAATGCAGAAGCTATGAAATGGAATTAATTAGTCAAATCTAGTATAATATGTTACAAAAATAAAGAAGGATTTCACACAAATGGTGAGTGTCAACGGTCACCAGGTTGGAGGCAGGCTTGCACACACGGGGAGAGAGGGATCCACCAAGTTTTTCTCTCCATCTTTTCTGTTTTTACCTGCAAGAGGAAAGATCAACGCTGAAGGGAGGGTGCATGTCCAGCTCTGGGCAGGAAGCCATCATCTTTGGGTGTTCTAGATGTTTTCTTGACAGGCAAGCTGAAACCATGAATACAGAGTGCTATCTTCTACTCTGAGGGCAGCAGTCCAGCGGAACAAAGGCAGAAGTAACAAGCTTTCCCCTAATAGAACCTCTTTCCCTGCTAAGTAGTAACTTTCCAAAGAACAGGAGTTCTAACTGGAGTCCTTCAACACACACAACACACACACACACACACACACACACACACAAACACACAAACACACACACACACACACACACAATAATGATCACTCAAAACAACTCAGAAAGACAGAACTTTTGGATTTTTTTAATTTCATTCTTTTTGGTATAAGACTACCCAATAAAGTATATGCTTATGTCTTCAAGACTTTAAAAAAAAATTCTGAAGCTAAAATTAAGCAATAGTTTGTAAAAGGTAATCAATACTTGGGGTTGGATGTCATGAGAGCTTATATCCGGGTAATATTACTTTTCATGTTTACCCCTATATATTAATAGCAAAGTAGATGACAAGAAAGGAAAATATTTATCAATAGTTGCCATAACTAATGTGTCATTTATAACTATTAAATATTTACTTTCATAAGAATGGAATCTGAAGATTATAGGAAAAAACTCACTAGCCTAAAACCACAGGTTTTTAACTAGATACATGATCTATGTTTGCCTAATACTAAAGGCCATAGCCTTTCCATTATAACATGCAGATCTTTTAAAAATTGTACATATTTATTAATATATTGCATTATTTTAGAAAATTGTATAATGGACAGATGATCATGAAGCACCTTATTTTTATTTGCTTAGATGCAAAATATAATTCAGGACTTATTCTAGATTCCAGAGGCCTGGTGTGGCTGATGGCAAGGGGATAGTGGCAATGGGAAGCCCGCCTACAAAAGACACCAGCAGACAGAATTGCAGTTTTAAAACTTGAAAGGGCAGACTTGACAAAAATTATACATTGTAAAATACTTATTTATGAAAGGTATTTTATATCACTAAGCCTTTTCTTTGTTATTTTCCCAGTAAAAAAGCTAAAGAGTTTTCATCTTCTTTTAATAAAATGAACTAAAAAGAGATGATATTAATGAACCTAATGTTAAATAACCTAAAATTATATTCTACTTTCTAACTTGCCTTGGAATCATCAATGACTCAAAGCTTTTTGGGGCGGAATGTATTAATTTGATAGACTAAATAATATATACCAACAGTGATAGAAAAATATAATAAAATTACATTGTCTGATTTCTGCATTTGGAGAAGTTAAAAACTGACAAGAAAAAAGTTTAGATAATTAAGTTTGAAGCATTGATATTAGTCCAAACTCTATCTTTATATGTCATAATTGAAGTTGCTTAAATTTTCTCTGCTAATGAAATTTATATCAGGGGGCTGGAGATTTAGCTCAGCGGCATAAGCGCCTGCTTTGCAAGCGGGCAGTCATGAGTTCGATCCCCGGTACCGATGAAAAGCAAAAAGACGGAAAAAAATTTAAAAAAAAAAAAAAGGAAATTTATATCAAAGTCTTATAGCTATGTACATTGTAATCGAAGATATTTAAAATTTTTGAATGAACTATTTTTAATATATAAGAATCACAAATTGTTTTAAAAAATCACAAAACACATCAAAATTTTAATTAACGATTTTCAGGCCAAAGAGTGCACTTTAAAATTAAGCTTCAGAGATACTTGCTCCATTTTTTTGTTTCACTGTTATAACTGTATGAGGTTATCTAGATGAAGGAAACATGTTTTCAGTTACTATAGCTTCCCCTTATTAGGTCAGCCATAAGTTTTCTATAGGCACAACTAAAATTGCAAAGTCTATTATTGGTGACTTCTCATAGAGTAAACATTTCTCACTGTAGTAGAAAAAGACTGAGATTTAATTGTTCTACATTGATGATTTTATGTTGTTGAAAATATCCAAATTAATTTTTGTTATATTGTGCTACGATAACCAAGCTGCACCGCTGATGTTATATCTGAAATCAGACTATAGATTCTAAACTTGCTCAAGTAGCTGCTGTATGACCTTGGGCAAATAACCTGTTCTGGGACTCAGTTTCTTCTGTGTATAAAGAGTTGGTAATAACATTTGTCTCATAAAACTATCTGCTGAATAGTGTCTTTAGTAAATATCTTTATGTAATAAATACATATGATACACAATGTTTCATTTTTATAGACTATAAAATTACAATACTGACATTTCATATATTAAATTATTTTTTTTAAATTTTACATTATAATCTGTCTTTCCATTGCATAAATATTTGAGTTGCAAAAATATTTGTCAACAAATCAAAATTATTTTCAAAATATAAACTAATTGCTATTAATTTATAAGAACTTTTAGATGTATTATTTGTATATGCTCTCAAACACTGACATATTTTGCTTAATTTTGGATTTATCTTGGTGGTAAATACACACAGATGTATAAATCTATATGGAGTACTTCCGTGGACAATCTAGAGGCTCAGAGTGCTTATTAATCCTGTAATGCTTTCCTCCCTTCCCATGAAATGAAATAAAGAAGCAGCAAATTGATTATTATTTTAAAATGCCATGGATAAAAATCAACAGCACAAAAGAAAAAAATTCCAGTTTATCAAAATCTGATCAGTTTGATTACAGGACAAAAAGCCAGAAGTAATCAATTTACATTCAATGTACTATACATTGAGAAATACAATTTCAAATCATTGATAGTCTTTAGACTCAGTAGCAACTGGAAAAGTGGTTATTTTTACCACTTTGGGTTTTTCTTTGAAAACAGAACTATTAAGTTCTAACTTTGAAGCCATCTACCATTTTCTAAATTCTGTGTTTATTATAACCAGATATGCAATTCAGCTCAATATTTCAGCTTTAGTATATAATAATTATGGAGAAATGGTTCCTAATAGCTTTTCTTTGACCTGAATTTGATTTGAAAAAGGAAGAGGAATGCTTCATTTCTGGGTAGGCTTTGCTATTAATAGCTTTATTACTGTGGTTTAGTGCAGGGTGGGTCAGAATGCCTGAGAATGGCGCCCAGTCCATCATGGGCTCAGCCAGTGTGGGCAGGAAGGACCATTTTGCTGTCTCCATTCTCCAGGGCTGACTGGGACAAAATCTTTAGTTTGTGCTGTGGCAAGATTTCCTTGGCCAAAGCAAGTGGAAAGCATAGGCAATTATCCAGATATCTGAGGTGACTGTGTGTTTTTCTGTCCCAAATACTTGAAAAACTACCTCTTCAATTTGACTATGATAATCTGAACTCTGATGTTTTCTGCCTATGTAAGTTTCTGCCTATATAAGTCTTCAGAATCTCCTCCCATGTACGTGTGTGTGCGTGTTTTGAGGTATGCACATATCAAAATGTTAAATTTGATGTATTATATAAAACTTTATGTCTATTCTTCTTACATCACTGGTAATTAACTTGATTAATGCTTTTTGAATAATTTTTTAGCCTAGCATGTCTTAACAGTAATTTTAAGTATAAATCTATATTCATTTCTTTAATGATAATAATTTGAACATAAGGATTACAGAACATAATGTAAAAGTTTATGCCGGGTAACACAGAAATTTAAACTTTTAACAGACTCACTACCTGTTGACTTCACTAGTACATAAGGTTCCTGAGTTAATAATATCAACAGAACTTTAAACAAGCCAAGAATTGGTTACTTAACATTTTTCTAATGAATGTTTTTGACACTTATCTTTTCCCATCTTATTTCTAAAATTAAATCACTTTTTCTAGCATATGACAGACAATAGGAAGAGAAAAAGGAAAGAAACATTTTAGCAGATGCTGAAATCAGACATTTCATGACTTAATAGTACTGATTCTAAAAAGGCTCAGTTAATATATTGGATATAGAGTTTTTAGAAATTAATCATAGATTTTTACCTACTTATTCTTTATGGCAGAAGCCTAGCACAATGAAAAGACTGGACTGGGATTCCAAGATGATTGCCCACCAGTAAATAGATGGGCAATACCAAGGAAGGCACTTTCTTTCAAGAATCCACATTAGTAAAATAAGCGGGTGAGAATTGTTCAGATGACCATAGGGTTAATTCTAGACTAAAATTCTGTTTTAAAATGGCCACACAACTGCAGATATTTTATATAGTTACTCTAAAGAAATTAGAACAACTAGATGTAATGAGTTATTTGCCAAGAATGGAATGACTAGAACAATTTTAGATAAAAGAAAATGGTTACTTGTATCATAGGTCTTAAAGAAAAAGCAATAATTTGTTTGAAACAGTACATGCAAGTAAACAATTTAAAAGTCATTTTACTGGTGTAGTATGGATACAAAAGCTGCTAACAGAACAGCTGGAAGTAATAAACACTGAGGAGCTTTTCATAGAAAAGACTTAGCCAACCATTTCTAATTGTGTAAAATCTAGTGATATTAGGGGGATAAAAAAGTATATTGACAGCTTGCATCAGGCTATTTTATTCAGGTATGTCACATCAACTTATCTAGTAGTTTAAAAGATGTTTAGTCATCAACTAAAATGACCTCTTTAATCAAAAATCTAGTAACCATGTCATTAAGCCAAGTAATAAAAACTGCAATAAATCACAGCAAATAAAGTCGACATCTAACATGTATCTTTCTTTCTTTCTTCTGTAACTGTTTGGGCTTAGAAATAAAGTGGAAACACACACACACACACACACACACACACACACACACACACACAGAATACATACATCGCACAAGATACATATACACTGTGTTCTCATCTAAATAAAAATCCGCATAAGAAAATGTGAATATTTGCTTCTACTGTAACAATATAAACAATGCAGGTATATTCTGAGGATAAAATGATTTATACAGTTTTTACCATATTTACTTTTGCTTCAGGTATTTTTTTTTAAATATCAAATTTCATGAAGTATATGTTGAGG